GAGACAGCGAGACAGAGTGAAATGCAGTAGAACATTCTGTATTGACATCTTCCTTATATCTATTGATTCCCCATTATGTTACAAACAAACCCAAGCTGACATTTTGTCACTGGCAATCATCTTAACACCAGGTCTCACCCCGATCCATAAACACACTTTCTCCCACATTCACTCACACAAACACCATGTTCAGCTGCCAAAAAATGTATATATATGTAGAGTTTCTCACTTTTAAAACCACCTAAAGAGCTCATTCTTTGCCATAAAAGTGAAATTATTAAACATTTACACTAGAGCCTTGTAAAAGTCCTCATTTGAGATGAAAATTTCAGACAGCATTTAGAGGTTTTAGCATCTGAACCCTTCATATATACACTACCGGTCAGAAGTTTGGGGTCAGTAGGATTTTAAAATATTTTAAAACAAGCTTATCCTGCTCACCAAGGCTGCATTTATTTAATCAAAAATACAGTACAAATTGTAATCCCTTTTTTATCAGTGGAATGAACTGCCAACTATTCCAGCATATCTTTTATGAAACGGATGCCCTTCCAGCCACAACGCAGTACTGGGATACACGCATGCACTCATTCACACCCGCACTCATACACCACGGCCAATTTAGTTTATTTATTTCACCTACACCACATGTCTTTGACTGCGAGGGGAACCCACACGAACATGGGGAGAACATGCAAAGTCCACACAGAAATGCCAATTGGTATGCTGGGACTCAAACCAGTGTATTTCTTGCTGAGAAGCGACAGTGCTAACTACTGAGCCATCTTGCTGCCCACATGAACATTCGATTTCAGCTGGAACTGGAGTCATTTTATTCATAAAATTGCAAGTGAATTGTTATAAAACATGCTAAAAACAGTAAAAGATAATCGTCTACAGTATTATTAAATGCAATTGCCTTAATAAATTCAGATTTTTAGTGATAATAAAGTAGTCAACATTTGAAGTGGATCAAAACCTGCTATCAAATTTGTTGTAAAATTATGGAACACAATTTTTTTCGTGGGACAATTTTGAAAAACATTTCTGATCCATTTTAACATCCACACAACCGGTCAAAAGTTTTGGGTCAGTTTTTTTTTCTTTTTTTTTGTAAAAAATATTTGTCTGTTCATCAAGGCAGCAATTAATAAAGTTAAAAAAAGTTAAATATTTAATAAAATGTTAAATAATTGCTTTCTTATTGTATGTAGTTTTAAAATATTACTCAAGTCATTATTGCTTTTATTACTATTACCATTATTAATAATAATTATAGTAATAATTACAATAATAATAATTAATATTAGCGTGATTTCTGAAGGATCATGTGACTCTGAAGACTGGAGTGATGAAGCTGAAAGTTCATCTTTAAAATCCCTGGAATAAAGAATTAAATAAATTATAAACTACTTTTGAACAGTTATTTTTAGTGCATTAACATTTCACAATTTTACACAATTTGCATAAAAATGACTAACCCTAAAGTTAAATCTTTTTGAAATATTTACCAATTGCAGTTTCACAGTGGGATTCTTTTCCACAGTATTTCCTACAATGTTATTTTTCTTCAAGTCAAAGTCTCTTTTTTAATTTGGCCAGAATAAAAGCAGCTTTTAGATTTTAATATTTAAACTAAGATTTTTTTTTCGATTGGCTACAAAACGAACAACTGTTATCCAGTAACTTGCCTAATTACCCTAACTTGCGTATAGTTAGCAGAACAACATAGCTAAGTCTTTAAATTGCACTTTAAGCTGAATACCATCTTGCTACTTAAATACAGAATAATATTATGCACTGTCACCAATGCAAAGACAAAATAAGTTATCAAACTGTTGCTTAAAAATATGATGACAAAACATTCTCTTGGTTAGGCAACAATTGGGAAATATTTTTTTAAATAATTTCAATTTCTCTGAAAAGTTCTAATAATTTTGACTTCATCTGTATACATATGGATATTGACAGAAGTTTTTCAAAATTGTCCTAAGAAATGAATGAGTGTTCAATAGTTTTACGACAAATTTGATCCACTTCAAATGTTGACTACTGTATATTAACAGTCTCTGGATACCTGCATTTAATAAGGCAATTGCATTTAATAATCCTGTAGACGATTGTCTTTTAGTGTGTGTTTTTTGCATGTTTATAACAATTCACTTGCATTTTATGAATCAACAATGACTCCAGTTTCAGCTAAAATGTTTTTCAGTGTTAAAACAAATTACATTTTTATGTGGGTGGCACAGTGATTAGCACTGTCGTCCCACAGGAAGAAGGTGGCTCCGTTGGCATTTCTGTGTGGAGTTTGCATGTTCTCCACGTGTTTATGTGGGTTTCCTACGGGTACTCCGATTCCTTCAACAGTCCATGACATGCAGTATATGAATTGAAAAACCAAATTGGCCATAGTGTACAAGTGCGTGTGAGAATGAGTGCATGGGTGTTTCCCAGTATTCGGTTGTGGCTGCTGCATAAAGCACATGCTGGTGGTTCATTTCGCTGTGGCAAACCCTGATAAAAAAGGAACTAAGCTGAAGGAAAATAAATGAATGAATAAATGTTGAACTACCCCTTTAAATATACACAGTTATTATTTTTTTTGCGGTTGATATGCTAATATAGGAGATAACAGAATGATTTTCTTTTGTTTCATATGCCACCGCATCAGATTATTGCTCATCTTTTGCCTCTTTTTCTCGCTCCGTCAATATACTCTCATCCTCCAGGACCTGCCTGCTACTGTAATACACATTAAACTTTAATGGAGCTGTTAATGGCAATAATTCCCGAGACCACTTACAAGAATAGGTCTTGATTATCTCTATCTCTACCTCTCTTCATGTCTATATCCGCCATGTAATGGGAATAGGGTGTAATGGCTGCATATATTAGTAAATAGTTAAATAGGTTCTGCTCTCTCTAATGGTGATTAAACGGGTTTGATGAGATATGCATATTTCTGTTCATTGTTATGGCTTTTGACAGAATTAAATAAATGAGCCTGCTCTCAGATTGGGCTTAAGTTCAGTTCACTGCTGAATTTGTGTTTCTGGTAATCAAAAAAATTTGATATAACAAACAGAATCTGTGAATTTGAAGTTTTTCAATCAAATTTGCCTGTGAAAGCTTTGTCAGATATCTTAAAATCAAAGTTTACAGCTTTGCTTTTCATTCATAACTAATGAGCGAGACAACTACGTGCATACAAGCTGAATCTAGAGCTCAAGATCACCTCTCCTGCTCAAACTCGGTTTTCCATACACATTCCCATTTTTCACTGTCATCTGCACCTACTTTCCTTTAGTGGTCCACAGCTTTTTCTTTTTTCTGCCTTCTTTTTTTTTATCTTCTTTTGACACTCGCTATTTTTCAGTGAAAGGGGCATGAAACTCCTCCTCCTCTCCCCTGGCCCTGTTAATCTCTGAGGGGAAGAGGCTCATTATCCTTCCTCTTAACCATTCTGTATCATTCTTCAGACTCAAAGCCAAAGAAAACCTGTAAGACTCTGAGGCACGCAAATGGAGAAGTGGTAAAAATCAAATAGATAGAGAACAATGCAAGCCCACTAATCAGTGTAGGTAAAAGGAGTCAGTCTAATTAATAACAATTCATCCTAAATGCATATATGCTATATTAAAAAAACGGACAAACAAAACAATAAGCATAAGCTTGGTTTTCAAGCTGATAAAAAGAAAAAAAAATCCCCTATGCAGATGCACAAATTGTTTATGAGTATTTTCATTGTAGATTTTAATTACATTAATATTTAAAAGAAATGTTAAATTTCTAATAAAGAAAAATAATTTGTATCTTGTATCCTGTAACTTTTTTTAAATAAACATTTTGCAAAAAAATAATAAATAAATAAATAAAACTGTATTTGTAAAAGTACATTAGGCATTCTAAAGATTTCAGTTAATCTGTCAATAGATATGAGCTTAAAATACATGAAAAATATCTATGAAAATTCTGTTTACAGACTTACATGAAGAATACCATCTCACAGCAAACAAGACATTAATTTCTCCATGTTCAAACCATATTAGGCTAATAGAAAACACATCGTGCCTAATCTGAAATGCGCAGACAATAAATTCCACATAATGCATATTTTTATTGTGTTCTCAGTGGACTGCCACATGTCCAGTAAACATATGATCAGCTTGCTTATGCAGTTATGCCTCTTCAATTCAGACAACACCCATCTCCTCCTACTCCACCCCCGCCCTCCTTCTCCATCCGCGCTTCCTTCTGTTTTCATCTTCATGTGCCTCAGAACAACCGGCAACTTTCCGCAATGGAAATAATAGCGGAAAGAGTCGTCCGTTTGTGTTCGGTCGTCTTTAATCGCCAATGACGATGTAAAAATCACACTATAGGTCCACCATGTGCATAATCAGTAAATAAAAACGCTCACAGCCTGTACAAAACACGTGCATCTGTCTACCTGCCTACTACTCCTCAGCCTACATCTATATTTTTAGGACAAACATGAGAGGTTTAAATAGCATAAATGCTGGTTTCTCTGTTCTCTGTGGCTGCTCTGATTCTCTCCTCTCTCCCCTCGATCCGCCGGCCCCGGAATCGATCCTGCGGAGATCGATAAGTTGGCATGAATATTCCCAGCTCACCGCGAGTTTAGTTCGGGGGAGACGGAGGCAGAGGCAGAGGCGAGAGGAGGAGACGGACGGAGACGGAGCCCTGTAAGAACTGAGCCTAACCTGACGGAAATTTATACAGAAAACAACCCCGAACTGAGCCGCTTTTAACAGTGCAGGTACTGCTGTAAACAAACTTGAAGGTTGGACTAAACCTAAATGTTGGAAAGGGCGGCAATGCCAGCGCGCGACACATGACAGAAAACGCCAAATGTGGATGCTTCATTCCCGCGGTGGAAACAGGGATAAGGATGATGAGGGCGATGGAGATGGGATGCTTTGCCGGATTTGGAAATAAATGAAATAATAGGTGATTGTTGTGGAAGAAAGCCTTACCGGAGTGTGAGCGGAGAGCCAGCGGGGACTTGAGACGCCAGGCGTGGAGGTCGGAGGCAGTTCTCGGCAAGACAAACGGCACCGGCAAAGGAACAAACATGATCCGTCTTTTTGTCTGGTTCTTTTCAGATGTTCTGTTTGCTGTTGATTTGAGTTTTTCTTTGCAATTTGAGCAGTTGTGGCTTTTTCGCACTTGGCTAAATCATTTGGTTTCGTCGGTGGTTCAGGGGTTTCTGACACAAACGGGTTATTCACTAAATAGCGCAGTTACATTTTATAAAAACCACTTATTCTTTTGTAGTACTTTGGATGAACATGCATAGATACGCAGACGCGACTGTGTTTTCCCAGCGCGCGCGCACACACAGGCGGATAGACGGATTGAAACAAGACAAACGCTGGTTATTCCACTGATACTTTCACGTTTGTCTGTTCGTTTTGGTATTAAGCTACAGTATTTGGTATATCTGCTTGTCGAACATATAGGTATCTGTCACTCAAAGGCATGTATTTACCATGTTTGCGAGCGTATATAACTGCATATCTCGGTTCTCAACTATAGTGTTATTTCTGTCCTTGTCGATACTGAACACTGTATATGTTCAGCTGGCCTGCTTCTCTTCTTGCTCGCAGTCGCTTTAACTTTGGTTGTCTGCTTGTGAAATAAACTGACGATTCTACATTTGTTCTAACAATGAAATAAAACACACGTATACTGTATAACGTATAAAAGACAGCTGATATATTGTTATTACTTGGATATGGGGTGCATTTTTGGTGAATTTATTTGGTCTAGCTCTTCTAGCTTTCTTCCTTGTTCTAGCAGCTACAGGCTACACATTCATTTGCACAAAGTCATTAAACGTGGTTAAAAGCGTCTGCTTGTTTTTGCTCGTTTAAATGAAATAGCTATAGAAAAATAAGGCAACTCAACGTGTTCGCCGGATTCGCCCCTCCTCCCACGCACCTTGTCACACGCCAGTAATTAAAACGCAATCAATCGATACATGACTAAATAAGGCAAACAAATAAATAAAGCACGAAAACATCAGGGGGAAAAGAGCTCGTTACGTCGCTGGTTTTTAAGATCACTTGCCTATATTTCCGTCCATCCGCCTGCGTGTTTTGCTCTGTCTGCCTGTTCCCGTTATTTGGGAACCCCAATAGCTTATTCGTGCACGCTCTCCTCCCATACGCTCGCGCGCTCTGATTCCACGCTGCCCGCAACATTGAAGCGCGAGCGGAGCCGTTACAACTCTCACATCACCAGCACCCCACCCCCACCCTCTCTCTCTCTCTCTCTCTCTCTCTCTCTCTCTCTCTCTCTCTCTCTCTCTCTCTCTCTCTCTCTCTCTCCTGTACCCCAGTGAAAGGTAAAATCACACACTGATACGGACATCTCTGTCAAACTACACGGATTCACCAAGTATAGATTAAAAGGGCCAATAGCTAAACTACATACACACATTTTTCACATTAAGCTACTGGTTAATATACTTTCAATAAATGCTTGCCATACTATAACATCCAAAAATGAAAATTCTGCCCAAGCGTGAATGCATGTCCTTGTTTTGCAAAACATGATTATATTTTAGGTTGGGGTTCTGTATTTGGTTTGGAACAAGTGATGCCCAAATTATTGGTCAGTGAATTTTTAATCAACTCTTTAACTGTCTATAACAGCACATAATGCCTCTATAAACTATTTTAATAATATTTTTGATTCAATTAATAACCTTTATGGTTAATGAAGCCTTTTTTGTTCCTCAAAAGATACTTTGTGGACAAAAGGTTCTTTGGATTATTAAAATGTTCTTCAAAGTAGGAAAGAAAATGTTCTTTTAAAACTCATTTTGTGAAATCCAAAATGGCATCACTGCCGAACCCCCCTTTCGGAACCTCTATTTGTTGAGTGCAAAAGTAGATCATAATAAATGTTCGTCTCAGTGCTAAAACGTGTTGCTTGAATGTATTTAATTTTAACTTTTTACTATATGCAACATTTGCAAATGTGCAGTTGTGGAAATTGCTTAGATTTTCCTTATATCTAAATACTAAAGCCACAAGCTATTATTTAGAGTTCTAGAAACTCTAATGCTGGATTGTTCTGCTTATTATTCACTCTGAAGAAATGCTTTATTGCAATTATTGGTTGCATGAAGAATCTTGTAAAACCTTTAATTTGCACAAAAGGGCGAGTCTACAGTATAGACCAGGGATGTCAAACTCAATTCCTGGAGGGCAGAAGCCCTGCACAGTTTAGTTCCAACCCTGCTCCAACACACTTACCTGTAGGTTTCAAACAAGCCTGAAGGACTCAATTAGTTCGATCAGGTGTGTTTAATTAGGGTTGGAACTAAACTGTGCACGCTGCGGCCCTTTTGGAACTGAGTTTGACACCTGTGGTAGAGACCATTTCAATGTGGTCACGTCATTGGCCCATGAACATTTCCTGCTTGTCATCAAACTATTTCATAACTGTTACAAGAGCCAATTCAATCATCATGTTAAAACAGCTATCATACGTTTATTTATCAATATGTGGCTCTTTTTGAATTCTTAAAAGCTATTAAAAATGTAAAATAGGAAATACGTTTGGACCATTGATTAATTACATCCCTCAAAATGGTCTACACTTTAAAAAAATAATAGTTTCTAAATATTGAAAAATATTCTTAATATGGAAGAACCATTTTTAGTTTACAAAAGAAGCTTTTACTGAAATCTCCACCTATTCTTAATGTTAAGAACATTTTCATAAACTAAAGAACCATTTAATGGATTGAAAATATTTTAAGGAACCTTTATTATTATGATTGTTGGCATCAATGAAAATCCATCAAAATGATTAGTGGAGTTAACTCAAAAATAATAAAATGAGCAACCTTTTACTTGACCTCGGGTGGCTCCAAACTATTATGATCATTATTGATTTTCTTTTTTTGGTTGAACAACATGAAAGCAGGTATTTTGAAGAATGTTGGAAACTTGAAGTTTCAAAAACAAATACTATAGAAGTCAATGGCTACTGGTTTGCAACATTAATTGAAATATCTTAGGTGTATAACAAAAGAAGGACTCAAACTGGTTTGAATCATGTAAAGGATAAGTAAATAAAAAATGTAATTTTTCTGGCAGCTAGCTCTCTGCAAATCTCACATTGTCGCCCACTGAAGCTGAGCAGGGCTGAGCCTGATCAGTACCTGGATGGGAGACCACATGGAAAAGCTAGGTTGCTGCTAGTGAGACCAGCAGGAGACGCCCAACCTGTGGTCTGTGTGGGTCCCAATGCCCCAGTATAATGATGGGGACTCTATACTGCTCAGTGAGCGATGTCTTTCGGATGAGACGTTAAACTGAGGTCCTGAGTCTCGTTGGTCGTTAAAAATCCAGGATGTCCTTTGAAAATGACTAGGGGTTAAACCTCAGCATTCTGGCCAAATTTGCCCACTGGCATCTGTCTATCAACCCCCCCCCCCCCCCCCCCCCCCCCCATATCATAGTTGGCTTTATCACTCTGTCTCCTCTCCACCAATCAGCTGGTGTGTGGTGTTCAGTCTGGTACAATATGGCTGCCGTCGTGTCATCTAGGTGGATGCTGCACACTGGTGGTGGATGAGGAGATTCCCCCCAAAAATGTGTAAAGCTCTTTGAGTGTCTAGAAAACCACTATATAAATGTAAGGAATTATTATCATCATTATTATTACTATTATTATTACTATTATTATTATTATTATTATTATTATTATTATTATTGGATGAACTACTACTTTAAATTGAAAATATGCAGAAATTAACAACCAAATATTTGTTCTAGGCATCTGTGATTCCCTAAATAAGTAACACAGACTGTTTATTCGCCAGTAAGCATTGTTAATATAAATAAAATGTAGAAGAACAGAAGCAAAACTATGATTTTTAAGACCGTTTCTCAACTCTACATGGAGAACCCCAACAGCACACATTCAAACTGTGCCAAACAGCTTCACGTTCATCAGCTCATCAATACACAGGCCTAAAATATGTGTTTCAAATTCTAGCAGAAACATTAAAAAAATGTACACTACTGAGGGGTGTCTAGGAACGGGTATAGGAAACGCTGTGCTGAAAATCTCGACATGCCAGCAAACCTCCCGGGGGCCTTAATCAGCGAGCGCTCACCGCTTCTCTCTCCTACCGCCAATTCATCACGCCCTGTCAATTACAAACCATGCTGCGGCGCACTTACACACAAGATTATTGTCAATATAGATTTTTAAATAGAAAAATCTATACGCTAAACACTCCGATCGATAGTAGTAAATCGATTCCACTAGGCAGCAAAACTCTCTGTGAGCTCAGGCTCAGAAGTCTTGGCAGTGACCGATGTTAAGCCTATATATTTACATTTTTACATCTGTGTCATTTTATTGTATTAATAAAACTACCATTTGCTTTGCGGTTATAGATAACGTGTTATATTTGTTTTTTTTGTTTGTTTTTGGGGAGGGGGGTATCTGTCTGCAACAAAATACATTTAATCCTTGTTTTGTTCGAAAGAAGGATGTGTTTTATTGTCCCTGTCCTTCTCTTGCATCTCACTATTGACAGATGACATCCACAGATCAAGTGAAAGAGATGAAAAGAAGTGACCGGTTGTCCCTCGCGCACCCCCTCGACGTGCTGAGGTAACGGGGCGCTCGGGCCCCTCCCTCCGCTACTCCTTTCAGACAAAAGCAATTATTTCTTGTAGAATATAGTGTGGTTGTGCGCATCTAAGAGAAGGAAAGAGGGACTGGAGGGAAAGAGAGAGTGCGAAATTGAGGGAAAGGAAAATAAGATGGTGTTGGAAGGATAGGGAGCTAACACCTCTTTCCTAGCGGTGTTCACTGCTTCCGCTCAGAGCCATTGTTTATGTGGCTTCCCGGAGTAACAGGAAAGTAGTTTCTCATTCACATACACATTTAAAGGTGTTCATTTAAACATGAATTGAAAGAAATCGGTCATCATTTACTCAATCTCATGTCATTCAGAACACAAATGAAGATATTTTCAATCAATGAGAGGTTTTTGTCTCTAAAGCTTCAAAATGTTTGTAAAGAGATCAAAATTAAATTTCCAAATCAATCAAACTGTTGACGTAAAGTCTTCTAAAGAGACATTATCTCTTCAAATTATGAACATAATTCATTTTTTATAGGACTTTAAACAGTGTAGAAACAAGATAGCAATTAATACTAATGTAGTTCACTGGTTTTTATGCAAACACAAATGTATCATGTGACATGTAAGAATGTAACTCATTGGTTCTCTCGATTTAAGCAAGCACGTTGAGCTTCCATGACTAATTATGAATGCTACGAGCATTGTTTGCTGATCAGCATTTGATAACCAAAAGCCTAAATTATAAATAAATTAACCATGTTTTTTAGAAGACTTATACTCTATTTAAACTCCTAAATTTAAATATATTTGTTTTTTAATATCTAAACATAGGTTTCATTTAAAAAAAAGAAATATTTCATTTCACAAGATGAACACATTTCCTATGTTTGGAGACTAAAGTGTGTAAAATGATGACAGAACACTCATCCTGGGCTGAACCAACTCTGTGTTCAGATTGTGGATGTTTACAAATTAATGACAGTAAGCCTGATACACTTAAAGGCACAGTATGTAATTTTCATAGGTAGAGGGAGCATATTCACAACAAACAAAAATATAGTTTGATGATGCTGCGAGTGTGGAATTATGGGAGTTGCTATCTTCACTACATCTGACAGGACTCCTGCAGAAATCATGTTCATTGATGAGCTAAAGTATTAATTCATTCATTCATTTTCTTTATTAATCTTGGGTCGCCACAGCGGAATGAACTGCCAACTTATCAAGCATATGTTTTATGCAGCGGATGTCCTTTCATTCACACACATAAACTATGGACAATTTAGCTTACCCAATTCACCTGTACCGCATGTCTTTGGAATTGTGGGCGAAACCGGAGCACCCGGAGGAAACCACGCGAATGCAGGGAGAACATGCAAACTCCACACAGAAACACCAACTGACCCAGTCGGAGCTTGAATTAGCGCCCTTCTTGCTGTGAGGCGACAGCACTACCTACTGCATTGCTCCTGAAGTAAAGTATTCAAAATCTGTTATCATAATAGTATGAAGCAGTGTAAGATGCCGTTCACACCGAACATGTTTTTTGCACTGAGAGGTGCCTTTTTTGTATTGTTAACTAACGGCCGTGAGCGTTTTGTGCGCTGTTTGTGTTCCGTTTTAACCGCCTGATGCGCCTCATGTTTTTGCCATG